CTCTCAGACTGCAGATCAATTACTCACTGTCTACACACACACACATTATTCCATCACGTTGTCACCCTCTTATATATATATATATATATACCAGACTACCCTATATCTAGTAATCTCCCGACCATTCCCGAAGGTTCGAAAGAAGTGGCGTGACACTAGTCACGTGACCTCGCTGATGCAACAAGTATTTACTTTATTTGATGTTTACGTAATAGTAATACTTATTTATTATAACCTATCTATAAACTGAATTTAAACTAATGGATCTAAATTCAAGTCAAGTGAACATGATAATCTTTAAAACACGAAAAGACAATTAATTAGTCTTTAGATTGTATTTGTTTAACAAAACAATGTCTATAACCTGTTTTACGATTTACCAGCAAGATGAATTAAAGCCTAAAAGTAAAAGTCCAATTATACGTCCTAAGCTAACGTTCTAGTACAAATTATACCACTAAGCTCTAACTTAAAACTTTAACCCTACTATTTTTATTTACCAATCTTACTAGATCTAGTTTTTTTTTTTATTCAACCCAGATCACTACAAATGATAATGTTAATATTAAATAATATTCAAAAATTTATAATAGCTTATCTTCTCTCTTCCGTAGCGCCCTCTCGTATAAAAAGAACAACTAAACGTGGAAATAGTTTAGTCTAAACCATTACCCATTTAAGCCGTCTCCAACCATTAAAAATAACCTTCTGTTTGCCTTCTCTTCCCAACTGGGTTGTTCGGGAACCGTTGTTCCCCATCAACCCCGCGCGTGAGATTAAAATATATTGTTGCGTCAGCGAGGTCACGTGACTAGTATCAAGCCACTTCCTTCTCGAACCTTCGTGAATTGTCGGGAGATTACTAGATTGGGGGTAGGCTGGTATATATATAAGATGGTCACAACCTGACGGGCCAATGTGTGTGTAGGTAGTGAGTAATTGAACTGCAGTCAGAGAGTGTATAATTGAACGGAGTATCGTTGAAGTTGAGCACGTGAGACGTTCGTTGTTATAGTTTGTTACAGCGCGACTGTTGAAATTAAGTGTATCGCATAGTTATATTCGGAAAGAATAAACCAGTTTTATTTAAGAAAGGACTTGTATCACTAAAGTTTCGTCAGAACGAAGTTACGGAGACGTAACAATATCAATGGTTGTAGTTTTGCTTCTTGAAATTAGTAAGATTTTCAAAGAAAATGTATGAGAGAAATCGAGAAAAGCCGTGAAGAATGTCGGAGGCGGCAAGATGAGGTTCTTATTGTCCAGTGGTGGTTGAGTCGATGAAGTCAATGAGGCCGGCGAGGATACATATGCGTAGTTCAACAGCTTGTAATGTAATAATAACTATAAAGCTCGTTCACACCAACAATATATTTGAGTTTATAATGTATTTGAATTGTCTCTATCATATACGCGTAGCTCAACAATCTATATATGTACTTCAATAGTTTGTACTGTTGCAATACTCTATATTTGAATTTTTGATAAAAACATTTCATTTACCATTTATTCTGGTTACTACTTAATTTAATACGTATAATTTGTTTGCTTTTCGCAGTATTTCTATCTGTTGAATTCCTACGTATTCGTCGTTCTCTCTATATAACGTAAGTAAAAGATGGTGGTTTTACCACGTAACAGTACAGTTGTACTTGTGGCTTGTGTTTTAAATAACTATAATATTTTCAGCTCGGTGTTTGGACACGCAGGTCACAACATTTGTAAAGATCACTGGAAAAACGTCACATGACATCTCTGAATCGTCTCTACTTCTGAGGTCATCAGAAGAGCAACCAATAACAATCGACTGTATCAACAGATGTCGCTCCTCATTGGACTGTCAAGCGGTTGTTGTAGATTATGAAAAAAACGCATGTTTTAATTCGACGGCACATGCAAATAGATACGGAAATACTGTCTCTGAAAAAATTAATTATTTTGAAAAAATATGCCTCCAAGGTTTGTCATTGTTTTTCACCTTTAAAAATGAAATATTTAAATTTATACAGATGTTTCAAAGTTCATTTTAGTTAAAATTAACACATTGTGAGGTTTTAGTAATAAAACAATTGTTTTCATATTATAATTTAACCAATATTCGATATCGCCATATAGCGTTTAATAAAATAATTTTGGATTGAATTTTGTTAGGCCTACTTATGACCTTGAAGAGCAGAAAAACATAAGAAATTTGGTACAGGATAGTTCTAGAAACGTGGCGTGATATTAGTCATGTGACCTCGCTGACGCAACACTCATATTAATTGGAAATATGTTTTAATAATGGAGAAGTAGATATAAGAGAGAGAGAGAAAACTTAGAAAAATTCAAATATACTATTTGGCGAATGCTCTAGCATTTACTAGATATAGGGTAGTCTGGTATATAAAAGAGGGTGACAACGTGATGGGAGAATAATGTGTGTGTGTGTAGATAGTGAATAATTGAACTGCAGTCAGAAGTATTGTTGACGTTCGTTGATATAGCGTTTGTTATAGGGCGACTGTTGAAAATAAGTGTATCGTAAAGTTATATTCAGAAAGAATAAACCAGTTTTATTAAGTAAGGACTAGTGTCGCTAAAGTTTTGTCAGAACGAAGTTACGGAAAGTTAATTAACGAATGGAGACGTAACAAATTGGTGTC